GTTTTTCTGTAGTTTATAGCACTTATAGGTGTGTGAATTTCCCACACAAATGGCCTAAAACTGCGAAATTCTCATTAGCCAATTGCTTTTCTTTCTTTCTGTCTTACCCTGGAAAGCGTGTATGTAGCTGTTACCCAGTGAAACCAGTTTCTGTAGGCTTGGGTTGAACTCATCCATCAAGCTCTGTTTGGGAAACACAAACACACAGACACTCATATACACCACTGTTTCTGTTGAATTTTGAAAGTCAGAGAAAGTTAAAGGAGAATCAATACAATCCATCTTTAATTCAATCTGTATTTATGAGCACAAACTCTCCCTCCCAACACCGGAACACAGACAGCCGGAGACTCAAATCTCTGGTGTTATCAAGCGGAGGAAATACTCCCTGAATTTCAAACTGTGAATTCACATCATGTTTGTTTGGTAGAAATGAAAAGAGATCACAACACAGGACAGCCCACTCTTACAAGTACTCCTACTCATGTGGTTATTTTTTGCACCCATTTGTCTCACATGTAAGTTTGTTGTCTAATCTGAGCCAGTAGCCCACACATAAAGTGTAAGTTACTTACCGAGTAAATCCCCAAGGTGGAGCGATGCAGCTCATCCCTATTCATCCCCGACATGTTTATATCCAGAGTACTGCAACTGTCAATGAAACCTCGAAAGGGTCTGCAGGGCTTAAATCATCCAACAAATGTAACAAAGTCTCTGTGAGAAATGAGAGTTAATCGTATTGAACTGGACGTGGAGTTGAGGAGAGAAGGCAGTTCAGTGTGTTTGTAATCGACACCACTGTGGCCTCAGAAAGACTGGAGTAAATAATTAAACATGGTTCAACCATAAAACACACTGACATGTGCTATAAACCCTGACTGTGTGTGTGTGTGTGTGTGTGTGTGTGTGTGTGTGTGTGTGTGTGTGTGTGTGTGTGTGTGTGTGTGAGAGAGAGAGAGAGAGAGAGAGAGAGAGAGAGAGAGTGTGTGCATTTGCCACATGGTATGTTTTATTCAAGACTGCAAACAGAGGCCTGTTTCTACTCTGCAATGTACAAAATCATATATATATATATATATAGGAAGTCACATTGAGATCGAGATCTTATTTACAAGTTAGACCTGAAAACAGAAATAAAAAAGATAAAGATAAATAAAATAATAACAATAAAAATAATTGTAACGATTTATAATAATAATAATAATAATAAAATAATGATATAATATCAAAGATTTAAATATAGATTTATATACAAAACTTCATTCACAGCAGCACACTACATTGTTTATGTTTATCATGACATATATGTTATGTCATAAGTAACATGTCACTTAGTACAAGGTGTGACTCACAGATTGGACTTTGTCTCTGTATTTCAGGCTTTGGATGCACAGTGTGTGCATGAAGAATAATAATTAATGTGCAGAGTCAGTTAATTGTTGGCTTTGGTCTTTTAGTGGGATTTGAATACCACCATTCTACTATTGTCATTTTGCTCTATTCTGTACACACTACTTCTGTTGCATGTCTGGGAGAGATCCCTCCTCTGTTGCTACCTCAGGTATTTCTTCCTTTCTCCTCAGTAAAGGTTTTTTTTGGGAGATTTTCCTCATCTGAATTGAAGGTCTAAGGATAGAGGGTGTCATATGATACACAGATTGTAAAGCCCTTTGAGGTAAACTGGTCATTTTGACTAAATGTGAAACTATCACAAAACTGCCCTTTTTAATTTAAGCACATTTTGAAATCCATGATTTACTTAATCCCAATCCTTTACTACTGTAATATCACTAATATTCCTAATTATTGATTGGTTAATGCAGAACTAAGTGTTCTTATGTGCTAAAAATACTATAATCCTGATACTTTAATCACTTTAGATGTCAAAACTCTGCTTGCACAAACAAGGCGAAAAAGGAAGCAGAGGTGTCCCTACATCTTTGCATGAAATACAGAAAAAAGAGTTGTTCTGACATTTGATCAAAACCCCAGATGAGTGGAGAGGAAATTATTGATTTCTTTCCTTCACTTCAGCCATCATATTTTGCCACTAGGCCCCGTAAAGCCGACCCCCTGTTTCCAAGCTGAAATACATACTGCTGTGAGCTGCACTCGACCCACAGCTCTGATGGATTTATTATTATCAAACCGTAGATTTTTCCTTTCTCTGACATGTCAGAGTCAGTGAACTCACCATGAACTCCTGGAGGAGAAGCGAAGGTGCCATGTGGATGTTGATGCATTCCGTGTGTGAATGCATGTAGAATGGCGAGGTAAGAGTAAAGCTTGTATTTTATTCTATTCACTGCATGTGTGTGTGTGTGTGTGTGTGTGTGTGTGTGTGTCTGTGAAACCTTTTATTCATATATGAATTGTTTATAGTTTAATAGATAACAGGACCTGGCAGAGAGAGGGGGAGAGAGACAGAGAGACAGAGAGAGACAGAGAGAGAGAGAGAGAGAGAGAGAGAGAGAGAGAGAGAGACAGACAGACAGAGAGAGAGACAGACAGAGAGAGACAGACAGAGAAAGAGAGAGCCTTGTACACTAGATGGCACCATCAACTAACTGGAGACATGACTGAAATTTTAAACAGCTCCATAACACACACTTATTTAATGTCTTTCTTCTCTTCTTTTCTCTTAACATTAACTTTGATGTTATCACAAACATCCCCTCTGCATACTAACTTTAGTGCTCAAGAAGCTGACATATAGTAAGTAATACTAAAACTACAACATAAAATAGTAATCCAACATGATGGCAGAAAATACATTTTATAGTGAATAAGAAATAGCTACTTAAATACTGGGAATCAATTCATCATATGTTATTAATCAGATAAAAGCTAAGATAAATGCTAATGATAGTACATTATTTCTAAACGCTCTTAATTGTAGCAGGGCAGAAGTACAAAGTAGCATAATATACAAACCAGATAAACAGAAATCTCAAGTAAAGTACAATATAATACTGAAGCACAGTAGTTTAGTGAATGCAATTAGCAGCTCTTTGATGTGTACTGTACACTTTAAACAGTCTAATAAATTACACCAGATACCTCAAAGATGCATAATATGCAACAGAAGAAGGAAAAAACAGTAACTTGCAAAACAGTGATAATAAAAAGCTTGAAATAAGCTGAAATGCACCCTTTTGGTTTCACTTATTAAGTATTTTCAGTGCAACAACTAATTTTTTCACAGCTCAGTATTATCCCTGTGAAGAGGTTAAGTCACTTGCAAAGACGTCAACAGACAAAGAATAGCACAATTTCTTTCAGGTAGAAGAATTTTTTAGACTTTCGAGTAACTGAGAAGCTCACACCAAATCCCCAGCACAGACTGTGGATAAAATCTCTGGAAAAAGTATGTTAACTAAATGACAAAATCCCAATCAAGAAAAACTTAATATCTATAATATCACGGCAGCACACAACATAAAGGTCAAGGGTGACTATGATGATAAATTGAGCTCAGAATGCTGGCCTCACGGAGGTTTTTATAGACATAATACATCAGCAGTATATTATGATCATTAACTGGGCAGCAGTGTCCAGAATTCCCCCAGACTGGCCTTTTTAATGCACTTGCAACTATTTTATTAAAGCTCAGACACAGCGGACCACGCGTGGACTGTGCTGCTGCAGTGTTGAACAATCATTTAGTTCCAATTCTTATGCTTTAAAAGCCGAATGCATGTACCCGAACCACGTACAAAGCCAGTGTTTGCACTTTCTTTATCCTAAAATGCTCAAATAAAAACCATTTAAAGCTACAAGCATCACTACAATTAACATTAGGTGTAGAGCAGCAACAATAAGAACACCATACTGCTGCAAAGCCATTTACAGCCAAAAATGCCACTAGTGACATTTAGTGTATACACTGAATACAAATGTGTGGAGCTCAGACGTTTGCTTTACTTATGTGTGAGGAGTGATTGTTTTGTATTTACTTTTCCCAGGCTCTTGTCCCCATCTCTACAGGAGTACTTACCAATCTACTTTACTATTCTAGTGTTCCAGTGGAGACTGAGAGCTATTTTCTGCTGCAGACATGTCGGATGTCTCACGCCGTTTCCCTCACCCATCTCATATTAGAGCTTTCAGTGCCTGTGACTTTGGGAAGTCTTAACTTAAATCCCTCTTAATACTTGTGTGAGGATGCACATCACACACTAATTTTATACACACAAGAGCTACTTCCCTCACGCAGTGAAGATTTTTCTCACACCTGTCTCTCTCTCTCTCTCTCTCTCTCTCTCTCTCTCTCTCTCTCTCTCTTTCTGTGAGTGTGTGTGTGTGTGAGTGTTTGTTATTTTCTCTTTGCCACTCGGTCTCTCTCATGCACACTCATACATTTATTTTTTAATTACGTGTGTGTTTGTGTACATATGCATCGCACTGAGATTAACGTGCATTTGTACTTGCAAGCCGGGTTTAATGAAACTCACAAATAGCACCAGTTCTGCTCTGCAACACACACACACACACACACACACACACACACACACACAAACTCCCATTAGGGCCATCATTCTGTCATCTCTGCTGCTGTAGAGCTGTTCCATAGGGAGCCTTGAGGCTGACTTATGGCCGTCCACACACCACATTACAGTAGGCCTGTAATGTGTTGCTGAGCAAGAAAATATTAGGCCATGGGGAGGAAAAAACTAATTTGCAGATTGTTATGCATGCAGGAAAGATCCAGTTCAGATCTGCATCTTCGATGAAAGCTTGAGAAAGAAGATTACCCCCTTCTTCGAGGCTGCACACAACATGCATTTTAGCACATGTTCCAACATCTGTATGATAGGAAATCAGATTATATTTGTTTATCTCCTGTCCACAATTCAATAAAAGTTAGCTTTAGGCTACAGGAGGAAGACAAAATGTACAAAAGGCGTTCGATCAGACTGCATGGAGCAATCTCTCTCTCTCTCTCTCTCTCTCTCTCTCTCTCTCTCTCTCTACTGTAGCCTACTCTTTCCCTCCATCTCTCTCCCCCTCATTCTGCTTTAGTATTAACAGGCTGGATTTTGCCTGAATACCGAGGACATGCGCGCTGAACAGGGGGAGGAGGTGTAACAGAGACTGCCTGCTTCTGATGTTTTGATTCCATGATCACTCAATTATGGTGCGGAACTCTCATTTTCTACTCGCTTGTTCTTTTGGAAAAGGAGAAAAGTGAGGAGGATTTTTTTCTCCATTTAGGTGCATGAACAGAATTTGACACTTTTGTTTTTTTGGGGGGGAGGCTTTTTTACTTTCTTGCGGAGAGTGTTATTATTAGATTTTTCTAATAATCGATCGCCCACGCCGCCACCCTGAAGTTCATTGTTATTATCTTGGCCGCCGGGATGGTGGCCTTCATCGGAGCGGTTATCTGCATCATCGCAGCCGTCCACACCGGATCCTCCAGGGCTGCCGCGGCGCAACAGCAACCAGCAACCGACAACCACTCGCTGTATCCGGACGCGGCGGCGCAGACCCCCGCTGCAGGGGGCTCCGTGGCCCGGGCCGGATCTTTGGGCGCTCTCCATGGTTCTGAAACCCCCAATTCGGAGGCACCAACCTTCAACATCGGGCTCGGTGGACTGGACGGGGTCACTGGACTCACCGGGCACGACCCAACCGTTAGTCGACTCATCTGCACGCCGATTCCCGCCGGGGAGTGCAACCCGAAAAACTTTCAGCAACAAGCGGAAGACCCGTCGCTGTACGCCGGCGAAGACTGGGGCTACCTCCGCACCACCGCGGAGGAGCTCCGACAGACGGTCCTGCAGCAGAAGGACCAGATATTAACGGACAAGCGGACCATCAGAGAGCTGACGGGGAAACTCACTGAGTGCGAGAAGGGTCTGGACGGAAAGAGCAGCAGCGCGGACAGACGCGGGAGCGCTGCGGGGCTGCTGGGGGGCAAAAGCACGGCTGAGGAGACGCACCTGGAGCGAATCATGGTGCGGGACAGTCCGGCTTCGACGTCCGACAGTGTCCACTTGCTCACCGTCAGAGCTGTGGATGAACTGGAGCAGGCTATCACTCAGCTCAAAGACCGCATAGAGAAGCTGGAGGTAGGTAGAGTGTAAAGAAAGAGAATCAGCCCTCCACATAAATCACCCACTGCATGCAACTAAAACAATACTTAAGAATGAATCCCCAGGAATAGTCTTGGTCCCAGATGAAGGGATTCTGAAGGCAAGAAGGACCCCCCTATTATCAGAGAGAATGGTGTTTAATGGTCTGATAACTATTTCTGCAATAAGTGATATTAAGAGTTCACCTCCATGGCTATATTTGTCTCTTTTTTTTTACTCTGTAGTCCTCTAGTCTGTTTTAGGATTTCTGGGCACACATGAGTGATTTATGAAAGCAATGATTTTCAATTATGAAGGAAAGCAAGTGAGCTATCCAACAGGCTTTATGTGTGGTTTGTGTGGTATTGGGTATTGGCAGCCAGATACCATATTTTCTATTTTTTTTTAAACAACAACATCAAATGAAGCAATTCCTTAATCAATAAGTTTAAAAAAAAAAACAACTTTTGTGTAATCTAAGAGAAGGAAACTAAAAGTCTGTTCCCATTTGTCTGCATTTAGTGTAATCAATTATTGTGTAATTGATGTTAATTGCTGATAGCAGTTGATTGCTTTGGCAAGGTGGCTAATTTATCATGCCAAGAAAACAGATGGAGATTTGAAATGAAGAGAAAGACAGCGATGGAAAGTGAGGCGAACGGAGAGAGACAAAAGGGGAGGGGGCAAAGGGGAGATGAGGATAAAGATAAAGTGGGGAGGAGAAGAAGGAGGAGGAGGAGGAGGAGATGGTGGAAGAGGAGAGAATGTAGCGGAGTAAAATGAAACATGTCTTTATCTGACCAGAATCCGATGATGTACAACCTCACATTTGGCTGGAGAAATACCATACATAATTTATGAGTTGCCTATATTTGTTGAAACCACAGACTAAACGTGCTTCTCTGCAGCATAGTACTCCTCACTCCGTGGCAGTTTATGTAGGACATGTCTGTTTGAGTCATTTTCTTTCAGGATTAAACACACTTTGCGTATCATCTTATTATCGCCACCATCAGAGGAAAACCTGCACTCTTCAGGAACTGAGGAGTTCAGACTCCTCGGCACACATTCTCCTTCGACAGAATAAGATCTGAATGCATTTGGTCTCAGGGTGACAGTTAAACCTAAAATATATTACTGTGGCCAATCTGTTTTTCTCACCCCCACTCTGTTTCTTGTACATCATTCTTCTGTGTACAGCAGGTACTTGGCCTACTTCAGTAGCACACAGTGGTGTTAACATCCTTTGTACTGGTGAAAATACAAAAAGAGTGCTCATTTGGGAATATTAGTCAGCTCAAATAACTGTGTTAAATTCCTTGCCTCCCCAGCTTTCTTCTTGCACGTGGTTTGCTCATGTGAGTGTTTTGCTGATCATGCATCATTAACAGCAACTCTTAATACCACTCACGAGACATATTTTACTACAACCAGAGTGTTAACCGTTCTTCACATGTCAGAGGAGACTCAAACAAAGTGATGTGGTAAATGGTGTGAATGTGCACTGTAATGGTTTTCAAACTATCAGTGCACATAGTCTCTGGTAGCAGTTTGAGTGGTTATGATTGTTCTTTTCCTGCAACATCAGAATGATTTCCATTCTAACCAGAGGCTCAATGATAGTAAGCGCTCTGTAAAATCATTCTGATCCAGCTCCAGTGCTGTGTTCCTTCATACTGAGCTTTACCTTTTGTCTAAGCTGCATTCGAAATAAGAATGTGAAGAGCAATTTCTTCTAGTTTATACATGGGGCTTATTTTCTCTACATTTGTATCCTTTTTTTATTGATCGAAAGAAAAAAATAGATCCTTTGTCTTTACCTATCACCATTTTCTGTGTGAGTGCCCGATCGGTACTGCAACTCTCAATAGAGATGATAATGAAACGAGATGGCTTACTCTTTAGCTACTTCCATCATTAGCCCCTGAAAAAACAACATGATTAATTCTTCTTTTTTTTTTAACCACTCACCAAATCGGACATGTTACTTGCTAAATTTACTTCCCAGACGTTACCTGCCCCGGGCAATCCTTATTAAGTGAGGCTGATGGTAATGTTAGTAGTTTTAGCAGGTGTTTGGTCATAAACCAAAGTGTTGGACAAATTAAAATTCTGACCAGATGATGGAGATTAAAAATTAAGGGATCACTAAAGTTATTGGAATTGATCCTGTGGGTCCCACATTTCATAGCAATCAGTCAAGTAATTTCCTCGCTTAAACCACTACGGTCAAACACATAGTGGTGCTAGAGGAAAACTCAGGGGATCACCAGAGTCTTTAGGATTCATCACCTTGGAAGTAAGATTGAACTTCTGTATAAAAACAATGTTGAAGTTATTTCACTGTGAAACTTCTGACCTGCAACTGGCACTAGAAGAAAAGAGAATTTGCTTTTAATCTTTATCATTCATCCTCTGGGCAGCATAAATATCTGTACAATTTCACGGCAAGTCTGGAACGAAGAGGTGACCAAGAGACACAACAACACGTGAAAAAAAATACAATGAGCACACAGATGTGAGACACATAAACTTGGTTGTCAAGTTAGTGTGGGGTGGAGGCATGTAGTATTTGATGACTTAGGAACAGTCAAGATGCCTTCACTATACTTACTCACTCTAGATTTATTTTGTATATATTTATGTATTAGAGGATACTGAACATTTTGTTTTCTCTAGAAATGTTTTGACATCTGCTCATGTTAATACCTTCCCTGGAGCCTAACCCCAGGCTCGATGACAGAACTGTCAAATATATTTGAGAGTAGATCACATATACCAAGACTCACAGGAATGGTTTTGATTTGAGTCTCCTCTTTAAGCATCAGTGCAGTCCACAGCAAGGTGCATACCTGTCTTAATACCTAACTATTACAGCAAATGTGTTTGTGCTTGAAGATAATGGTTAATGAAAAAGATAATGATAAATTACTGACAAAAAACTGGATAACAATTCTGCTGTTGATTTTACCACAAAATGTAGCTAAAAGTGTTTTGAGGGATAATGTGACAAGTCTATTGGAAAACATGTTAAAGAGGATGATCAGATTATCACATTTTCACACAGTAGTCATCATTGTAGGAAGAAATTTTCTCAGTTTGTCTGTATCATTCTATACAATACAGGCAAGCACAGTGCACAATGTATGGCTTTATGTATGGTTCAGAGTACTGTATGTGCATGTATTTTCTGTATCAATTCCCTTGTGAGTCTATGTATTTCTACTGTATACTGTGAAACAATGTGCATGGTGGATATACTGGACCACCAGCTTTAGGGATCTTGCAGAATCTGTATTTCCCACATTTTCCCTTTTGGTATAGGTGTTTATTTCAGTGAACCATTATGTGGTGGGGTCTGGCAATTTATTGTTGACTGAAATAGTTTGGTTGCTTGACAGCCTTTTCTGGCTTACGATTATTTATTCTCACTTAATTGTAAAAATATTTCTGTAGACATGAGATGGCTCAGCTTAATGAAGACCTGTTCATACCCAAAACTTAATTACACAGTGACACATTTTTGTTATCCTCTCTGTGAAAACAAGCAAGTGCTTCAAAGCTCACAGCCAGCTTTAGTCATGCCACACTATTTTTACAGCAATGTAAAATCAACAAATTAAGCCCAGAATACAGAATAAAGGATCAAGCAAAAGCATGATGAACTGTGGTTAGCTTTGCAATTCGATATAAAGGGAAAGAAGTTTAGAGGAATAGTTGGAATTTTCTCTTGCTGAGAGGTAGATGAGAAGATTGATAACACTCTCATATCTGTCAATTCAGTATGAAGCGGCATTAGCTTAGCTTAGCTTAGCATAAAGCACAACAAAACAGGAGTAAACAACTTGCTTAGCTCTGATGAAAAAAAAATCCACCAGCGCCTCTAAAGCTCACAAATGTACACATTATATCTCATTTGAGTATTCTGTACAAAAAACAAAAGTATAAAAACAACAGTTGAGTTCATGGGAGGCAATGTTGGGAAACACAACAATTTGTGATTTCATAACTAGCAACCTCACTGTACCCAGTCAAAAAATGTCCTTAAAGAAATGTTGAACTATTCCTTTAAGGACAAATCATTACAGCATAGTAAAACCCTTATTTAATCAGTCCCTAAATGTATCACCAGGCATGATATAATTTTTCAGCAAAATCAATTATTAATTGGGTCAAATAACTTCTTCTTACGCAGGCACAAACAGACATGATTGTTGAATCACTGCTATAACTGGAATGTGCATAAATGCACCATTACCTGAACTGCAGATATGTACTTAACAATATTTTCCTTAGACTGCAAAACCCACACTGTGAACCAGTTTCCATCCACTGTCTCCCTCCTCTGCAGTCAGACATTGGCCCATTTCCTCACAACCAGACGGACGGCAGCACCTCAGGAGTGCCAGATGAAGGCGGAATGTCTGTTGGCCCAGAAAGGTTGGCTGATCCCGGGCCCAGAGCTGGTGCTGACAGGCCCTGGAGGATGGAAGACTTGGAGGGGGAGCTGGAGAGGAAGGTGGAGCTGCTGGACAAAGAAAGAAAAGCCCTGAGGCTGGAAACAGAGAAACACAGACAGGAAATCGACCGGGGCATCAATAAACTACACCACAGAATCTCAGGACTGGAGGAAGGTAGCTATTAACAGAGAGGGGGAAATAATCCGGATGTGTGTGACTGTGTGTATGTGTGGGTATATATTATTGTGTAAATTAAAATATAATAAAGTGGTATACAAAAATGATGTGAAGTGATTCTGATTAATCACTTGCATGATGAGTCAAGTCACAAATTATGAGGAAAACATTTGGCATAAAAGTTACCTCAGATGTTTAATTTTTATATTAATCTTAATCAAATCAAGCCATGGGGTTTATTCTTTATGATGAATAAATGATGTTTAACTTATGTAAAAGGAAAAAAAAGATCAGACAGATTATGAAATTCCTGCCCTGCTTAAAAAAAACATATCAGATGTTTTGATGTGAAGAAAGTGCAGATCTATTTCATCCTCTTGCCAGATACATGACTGAATTGATTTCTCTTCACATTCTCTCTCACTTCTTTTGTTTTCACACTCATACTCTCTTTCTGCTTTTTTCCCAGGTATTGCAGGCCATTCTTTCCCGGAGGGATACAGACTTTCCTTCCCAACTCGGACCAACTACATGTACGCTGTTGTGAAACACTCCATCCCAACTCTGCGGGCTTTCACCGTTTGCCTTTGGCTGCGGCCTGCAGAGGGAGGAATCGGGACCCCTTTGTCTTACGCTGTTCCTGCGCAACCCAACGAACTGGTGCTGCTGCAAGGCCTGCACACCCCCACTGAGCTGCTCATCAATGACAAGGTGCTGTATCAGTAAAGCTGCATCCACTGTATATGTGAACTGACCTGTCCACTGCTTGGGTGCAATTGATTTTTCAAGGAGGTTTATGGGTCATATTTCAAACTATTTATTGATTAGATTTCTAACATGTGTTATTAAGTCAACACAGTCCATTATTACAAGTACATGTTCTGCAGAAACACATTTCAATAATAATAATAATTTACTGTATGTAAAGGAAATATATTTTCCAGATATCAACACTGGATATATTGAAATACATGTATATTTTTTATTACTGTAACTAGTGAATATTGACAATCATTGTGCAATGTATTATATTAGCAGTATATATATTGCTCAATATGTAAATTATTGCTAGATTAAAAGGTCAAGATTTACTTGTATCAATGTATCAATCTTGAGTATCAATTATTACGTTATACATGTATTTCAAAATATATGGGTGCCTTTAATCCATTTAAATATATATTTTAATATCCAGTTGTGGTTCTTCAGTCTGTGCCAGAATGTATGTGTTAATGTGTTCTATGTTCTATCACAAACACAGAGTAGTCATTTTGTATAACTTTCCTAAAAGTCACAGTGACTGGATCCAAGAGTCGGCAGCACTAATCTGGGATAGATATAGAAACTTGACAGCAACCAGTGTATATGCAGTATCTTACATAATTTATTGTCACCATAGCATCACCCCAGAGGAGTTTCATTACTGCTTTCTACAAGGCTTGCTCACTTTCTCATATTCTACCAATTGTACTGTATATAAAAAGCATTCGTCTTGAGTAGACTTTGTCTATTACAGAAGACATAGTGTACTGTAATAGCATGCAAATAAGCAGAACACATCAAATGAACGAGCCAATTTAGCAGACAAGCTAAATAGCCTCATTCATGTGTTTAAATGACAAACTAATGTACCCCATTGACAGCATTGCAGGGTGGTGTAGTGCAGTGCAGTGGCAGAGGTATAATTCAGTGAAGTCATTATGGTAATAGATGCCGGGAGTAAAAGTTCTGTGTCCTTGGAGGTAGTCGAATGTCTTTGGGACCGAGAAAATACTGTATAACAGCCAACTTTTATACCCTGAAGACTTGAGAAAGAAATGAGATGTCAGAAGAAAATCTAATAGCTAGAGCTACAGCCAGGTGACATGTCCTACCATGAATGTGAGACACTCAAAAACATCAGAATACAAAAATCTACCCCACCTAAACTCCCCTTTTGCTCTCCCATTCCTAGGTGGCGCAGTTGCCTCTAAACCTCTCCAGAGGCAGCTGGCAGCACATCTGTGTGAGCTGGAACCAGAAGGGCGGAGCCTGGCAGGCCTACCAGGGGGGAAAGCTGAGGGGCGAGGGTCACGCACTGGCAGCCGGACATCACATCAGACCTGGAGGAGTGGTCATACTTGGGCAGGAGCAGGTGATTGCAGACTAACTACAGCACTGCAAGCAAATAGTAGTTTACCCACTATGACTGTGGGTGTATTCACTTATTGACTTCTCCATGAGTTGTAAATAAAAGCATGACACACTCTAACAGCCTTTGTGTAAGTAGACACAGTAAATCTACACATTTCATTTAGCTCGAAGTGCACTACCAACCTGAGTGTTGAGGTGGTGTGTTGTGGTGTTGAATGGATAAGGTGTGTGTGTGTGTGCATAATGGTCATAAGCAACAAGGGTAACAGCCATTCAAAAGTAAAAGAACCCCCTCAAATATGGCTTCTTTATTCCGCAGTACTGCATATACTTTTTATCACATCTCCTTCATCTTCACAAAAGCAAGTCCACTGTCTTGCTCAAGGCAGCAAAGCAGTCGAAGCTGAGCCTGTGTGTGTATGAAACTGTGTTTTTGTCTTCAGTCACTCGCTCCTTTCAAGACTTTTCTCTGTAATCCATCTAACGCAACTGTTCTTTCTCTCCAGGATTCCCTGGGTGGTGGTTTTGACTCATCCCAGGCCCTGGTTGGAGAGTTGTCCCAGGTGGGTCTCTGGGACCGAGTCCTGTCTTCTAGCCAGGTTGCCAGCTTGGCTCGCTGTGGCAAAGTAACCCAGGGCAACGTGGCCCCCTGGACCGAGAACGGAGTTGAGGTTTATGGTGGAGCAACTAAAGACCCGGGAGAGCCTTGTAGTAAACACAACAGGAGCTCTCAATGACCGATGGGGGAGGCTTTGAGAAAAGGGGAAGTGAAGGAAGGGCGCGGGGAGGTGTAGAGCAACAATTTCAAGAAGGCAAGATTCAGTTTGCCCAGTAACACATACGGGATTTTCTGTGGCATGTATTAAACATATATATATATATATATATATATGTTGAGAAAACATGTAACAAAACTAGTAGGATTAGCTAGCTAACAAACTGACATTATCCAACTACTATGGGAATTATTAAACATATTTGGAAATTTGCTTTTTCAGCAACCAGCTTAGCATAAAGACTGCAAACAGGGGGAAACAGCGTTGTCCAAAAAAAACCAACATTTTTAACACCTTCCTCTTTTGTTTAATCCATACAAAAGACAAACTGTCATTTTTACGCTTTGTGTTTTGTACAGATTAAACAAACAGATACAACATCATAATTATTGAGTGTCAGTGAAATTAGGCAAATAATTGCTGCCTTTGAACAGAGCCAGGCTAGCTTTTTCTCCCTTTATGCTAAGCTAAGTTAGCCGGCTGCAGGCAGCAGCTTCATACTTACTCATACATACACGTACATGTGAGTGATATCAATCTTCTGATCAAACTCTCAGCAAGAAAACAAATAAGTGTATTTCACAAAATGTCGAACATTTCCTCTAAACTGATCAGGTCAGTGGAATTGTTGTCATTTAACAGTTAAAAACTGAGCAGAAATCACCACAGTCTATTTATTCTGTAGAGACAGCCGAGAGCTATTGACCTCCACTATGGCTGCCAGAAGTTGTGTCAAGCAAGCTGAAATCCCTCCATGAGTGCAGAAGGGTCGGCGTGAAGTTAATTAAGAGCTGCGACAGCTTTAAAATTGGGAGTCAGCGTAAGGTGATGAAAAATGTTGGAGAAAGTGGCGGGAATATTAAGTAGTAGATGGCATCAAGGAGTAGATGATGAAAGAGAAAGGAAAGAGGGAGGTCAGGGAAAAAAAATACATAGAACAGGCACTTTTAAGGAGTGATGCTACATTGTTTTCACCTCTGCATGATGTATTCATATACCTGTAATGTTTTGCCACTGCAATGTGTTGCTCACAAGTTTCACAAAAGAGGACAGCGCCTCCTGTACACGTGGCTGGCAGGAGGTTGTCTTTTTTGTTTGTCTGTGAAGGCCTGGGGGTCTCTTTTGTTCCTTGAATAAGTTACTGAACAAATCTAAAACAAGAGTCTTATTCCCTAAGGAAGTCGCAACCACTAGCAGAATGTTGCTATTTTCTTTGGTGTATTTTACATATTTTTTCACAAGCTTCTGCCCCATTTATGTCATTCTGTGCAAATGTAGAAAATCAAGGTCAGTGTGTGCTTTAATCATTAAATTATGTCTCAGATGACAACTTTTGGCTCAACCTTGTACACTACATGTTCTTTAAATTCATGCTCTTGAATGCAACCATCAAACATACTGTACATAACATTTTATCAGTTTTATTAGTTTCAGATCTGCATAATGCACTCACATGACTGTTTCCTCTTTGCGATTTTATACATGCAGCCACTCAACAATGTGGTTTGACAGCTCAACAACCTCCGACTCCTCCAACCTTCCTACATTCCATGCATGAGTTGTACTGTATGTTTGCAACATACCTCGTCATTTTGATGATTATTCTCAACTGTTGTATGAGACATGATGTTAAATACAGATTGTTCATTGGCTCTCCCTATATAGCATTAAAATAATCCTTGGTGGAAAGTGCCTGTCAGGGTGTTTATGCCCATGTAAACAAATCATCAAATGTTATTATTCTGATGGAAAATTCACACTGCGAGATATTTTGAACTAATTAAGCATCCATGTTTCTGTGAATTCCCTGGGGATTTTTTTTTTAAGATTTAAGAGAGTTTCATAAAACATTTGAAAACACAGACACAGGACTTCTGTGCAGTGTCGCCAAAACTGATGCTAAATCAGGTCAAAACCATCTTGCTGTGCCTAATAGTGTCTTTGATGATGCCTCTCAGTCTGCAGCGTTATTATTAATATTATGCCTGGTGTTTGTTCAGCTCATGTCAGAGTTTTTTGGGGCTTTTTGATAGTGATGTGGCATCATTCTGTTTACAGTTACTGGAATTGAAAGCTTTTTAACTATTGGCAATGTTTGTCTTTTCTTACATGATAATTCTGTTATTTTCTTTTTCACTGTATGCATTGATATCTTGTCTAATTTCATGTTGTTGTTTGTATAAATACTGTATGTCTTTGTCTTGTATGGTGTTGTATTGTTCTGCATATGTGCTATGTACAAACCTAAAATCTTTATTAAAGTCCTAATTTTCAGATGTAAAGAATGTGATTCATTTCTATATATATTCTATTTCTATATTCAGAAAAATGTCTGTAAGAGCTGCTCTTTCATTCAAGGACATCCACACACACACACACACACCCACTTATAATTTAAGTGCAGCAGCAACAAACTCTTCTCTGGTAAGAGTGCTCTCCAGACTCCACAAGAAAAAATCTTATTTTTTCAATGACAGAGAAGAAAGTGTATTTCTTGGTTCTCTTGGTCCTCTGTTTATTCTCCATCTAAGCAGATTACATAAGCCTGGAGCGTTCTCCCTCGGGTGAAACAGGTGTAGATGCGAGTTAAGAGTAAATTGAGGATTTAGGAGACCAAGTGAGGCATCTGTTGTATATCAGCTACTCATTTAGTCATGAAAAAACTGGTTCTATTTCTGTAGCACATGTTTTAGAGGCATAATGGGTTCAGGACCTCACATTCAGGGAAAGACTTAAATGGACAGTACACTGAAAGAAAACATGTGGCGCTTACAGTAGAACATAGACAATATTCTGTATGTAGACAGTGTCCACTACTTTATGCATATTATTGTTTAGGTCTGTGAAAACATTTCATATACAGTCTGATACTCTTCAGTGTGACATGTAACACAATATGACATAAATATCTAATTTATATATAGATAATGCAATACAATGAAATAGACCAGCAATTTTTAGAAGTTTGCATTCACTTTTATTTCTTCTTTTTTATTTAAATGAAGAAATTAATAGAAACTAATAGTTTTGTGAAATACTTTTTGGCCTTTTAGCAGAGAGTGCCATGAGAAGACTGGTAACACTTTCATATATGTCCTTAAAATATAAGGCTATAATGGCTTAGCTTAGCTAACTGACTGCAGACTACAGACTGCCCCCTTTTATTTAGTTATCATGAATGTTTCTGTGGATTTCACTGTCTTTTTATGTGCTTTCAACATACTGTGCATCAAAGCTGAGCTGACAGCACTCTCGGTCACCAGTGAGGAGCTCCACTGGTAAAAGCGACAGATTTTGTCGGTGGCAATCGTGATTCAGTATTGTCAGATTTAGCGTTAAAGGATGCATCCGTCGTTTGGACTGTGTCCCTCTGTTTGCAGTCTTTATGTTACGCTAAGCTAACCTGCTGCTTTAGCCGAAGCATGATATTTAAAGGAACACCTGTGAGTGCTATCAGTCTTCTAATCTGAGTCATAGCGAGAAACAGATCAGGGATATTTCCCAAAATGTTTAACTCTTCCTTTAATTTACGTGTTCATGTCTTACATGAATTCCTATATGAACAAAAAATAATTGTATTCAGCACTGTAAGCTTCCAAAAATGGTGATCTATTTTACTGGGTTGCATTAAAGTGTTTATCTTATTGTATCCCTGTACTGTGTAATCTCCATGTCTCCATTTTGTATATACGGTATATCAAAATAGACACATTCAATTCTCACTCTGCCGTCATTCTCCCCACCTCTGTCACCCTCCATTCTCACCCTCCTCTCATCTTCGCACTCCCTCTCTGTTCTTCTCAGTGGCATTTCTACTTCAGACCCCGCACCCTCCTCCGCTCCTTGTCGAATGTCACCTGCTCTTTACTCAATCCCTGTGTTCCTCGGGTCCCAATTCTCAACCGTTTCTTCAGCCAAGACACCCTCAGCATGTCTAACTGACAAAAGAGGAGACACGTGCACGGCACGAGGCTCCGACTTTTCAAGGTTGCTGTCATGAAACTGTCATTTTTACAAATATGTTGGGGGGAAATTTAAGGGAACAAGCATACAGGAGATTTATAAAAACAAATAGCTACGAGTAGCGATTTAAAAACAAACCCATTTATATGCTTCTCCGCCTCAAGACATAAGTCAACATATTTTTTTTTCTCTTGTTTTTCTCTTGAGCCTGTGTACCAGCACACTATTGTAAAATTTTACTTTATTTATTTGACATTGATTGATAAATATCCAACCACTAGGCACAGCAATCAACAGATACTGTACAGGACTGAGTGGTGAAGAACAAAACAGCAATATCGGTAATCCCTAATTAGTGTGAGTGAATCTGTTCAACTGTTCCAGAGGATAAGACACAACTGAGAGCCATTTGTTCACGCTATCCTCTCTTTCAGTAATGGATTTACAATTTAAGTCCATGACCGGCTCTCCTGCTCGTGCCAGACAGTCACAGTCAGCTGGCTGGTGTCACACAACTTAGATCTAAACCCAGTCAAAGTCCCCTTAACCTCGTTAGTGAGAAGGGTGTAGCCTGTAGCCCGTGTGAGAAACTGTAATCATGGCTGTGCGGCACCTTGCTGTTTAATGGACCTATCTGAACCGTTTTTATGCAATATGCAACAGGCTTATAGACTATTTGTGTTTGTTACGTGTCTCACACCTGCTATGGTACTGTAGCTTTAACAAAATTGCCAGTCACAGCTATTTTCTAACTGCTTTTGGCAGGCTGTCGGGTGTTAATTTCTTTCTCTGCGCTCAGAGGCAGCAAACGGAAAAGACGTAGGAGGAGACACAAATTCAATGTGTGATTCTCACACATCAATTCAAATCGCTTCTTCTCAGTCCATTTTTTTCTCTTCTAGCACCTCAAACAAAGGGATCGCACTTAGTAACTGGTGTCTGTTTTTCTCACTGAAATATAAAAATTTAGACTGCAGTGGCAGCCTGCAGCACTGAGTGACGAAGGCATAGGACACTCTGACAGGACGAGATGTAGAGCAGGGATTTAACCTGTGACCTTCTAGTTCCTGTAAAATCTCTGACCACCAGGCTGGCTGCCTTTGCCATTTAACACATATCATCCAGAGCCAGAAGATGATATTCCCTGTTGGATTACCAATCTAATCCATAATGTTCCATCTAGGAATGGATAGATCGTAATCCCATATAATCCATGAAATGGGCGGACTAACAAGCAGAGAGTTTGCCTCATACAAAATTAACTCTAAGGTCACCATACAGTACAAACTAACTCATGCTGAAAGATTAAAAAGTCCATTACGCCACAGTTTATAATGTCACTGCATGTTCTATTCTGCTTGTCTTTGACTGTTCAAGTGTGATCAAGATTCCTTCACAGGGAATTAGAGACCAGATTTGTTGGCTCTTATCTGGTAATGGGGGGGGGCTTTTTCTGATTCAAAGCTGTATAATTTAAAGTCATTGGGTTTTAAAAGATATTCAGCCTCAAAGCTGTTTTTTTTTTTCTCCATGTCAAATGAGCAGCTCCAGGAAGTGTCTGTTGTTCACAAAATGAAGTGTTGCTCTGCTGGGAAATGTCCCATTGGAAAGTAATTAACATATTTTTGTTTCAGTGTGTGTATTTAATTTTAAAACAAAGTGCTCTTCAAGCAGAGAATGCAACTGAAAAACGCCTTTTACTTCATATTTTTACTTCACATGATTACTATGTACATATGTATATACACACATAGATATATATAGTAGACAAAATAGACATAGTTGTCTGTGTCTACTTCCTCTGGCTTGTAATCCTGTTTATATATGCCTAATCTGTGTATATACACTTAGAGCAATGTAAAATCAGAGTCAAATTCCTTGTATTACCTGTCCAGTAAAAGTTGTTCTGATTCTTTTTTGGATCAACTTAACACAAGGCTGAAAAGCTGTGTTTTGCTGCCCTCTCTGGCTGAAGGTTTCAAGCCTGTTGGGTGTGGTCAGATGTGCTTACACCTGTAACTGCACCTAACAGTGATGTCACTGGGTGCTGGAGGCAGCAAGGTGATAAGTTAAACCACAGGAGGTCAGCAGAAACACTTGTGGTTACTGGTGGTAACAGGTGTCAAATCAGTGATGAATGGCACCGTCCATTGTTTCATAGGTAGGTCAGTTGAATCCTGCACGAGAGTGGCGGACTCCACCACTAAGAATGAAAACTACAATACAGAGAGGTAATTACAGAATGTAAATACTTCAAATGTCTATACATTTTTTTTTTTATTTCTTTAAAATTGTAATAATTCTAACTTTAATATTGGGATTATTGGTTCATTTTCAGTGAGAATAGTATTGAGACTAGACATAAGCATTTTGACATTTTGCGGTCATCATAATAACTACTTTCTATCAAAATCCTTAAATCCACCTACTCATCACTTTCCCTTTTGAACCAGAGAAGGTAATCCACCCACTCAGCCTCCACATGGCAGCGTACCAGAATCGTTACTCTTCATCCACACACACGAACACACACACACACACACATACGGTCCAAAATCCCCACAGAGGCTCCATCTGGACAGGAACACGCTTTGCTCTTCCTCCATCTTTGTCACCCACTTCTGCCTCTGACTGCAATCCCATATTCCTCCCTCGCTTATCCTCCCTAGTTTAATGCAATATTCTTTCAAGTACAGGTAGGTGGCCTTGTATAACTCCATGGGCATAGCTGTAATACTGCCAAAGTCAATGGGCTTGTTTCCTCAGAGGCAACTTATTTTAAAAATGTATACACTCATTGTGCTGTAAACCTATACCCAGAATGGCTTTTTTTGTAAAAATAATTCAGCAGTCTTGACTCACTTGAAGTTGTGTAAGCCATGTGTCTCAGTCAGTGTTTTAGACTTTGGAACAAGCCTTATTTCACACATTAGAATTTTATATTGTTATAATGTTTTATAATGTTTTATAAGCTGACACATCGGCCTTCTTAATTCTTAAAATTCTTAAAGATCTCTCTCTCTCTCTCTCTCTCTCTCTCTAATTACATCTCTGTAGCCTCCTCTTTCTCAACCTTCCGTCTTTCACTTCCTCCAATTTTGTTGCGATGGGGTGAGCAGACGCATGACAATTTTTAAAGCATGTAACTCAATTCCGAGAGGGTTTTGGCTCTGTTGTCAAGTGTGTGTGAGTGTGTGTGTGTGTGTGTGTGTGTGTGTGTGTGTGTGTGTGTGCGTGTGTGTGTGTGTGTGCGCACAAACACAGCTTTCTCGGCTGTTGGGTGTGCCTGTCTGTGACAATCTACTTTGTGTCTTCATTTATT